GCAAGAACTTCACGCTTCCCTCTCAGCCTAGAGGTGAGAGCAAGGAGCAGGAGTTGCACCATGTAATTATGGTTGTTATGCCAGTTAATAGAGCTCCTCAGAGCATAAACACTGCTAGCACTACTCACTGCTGGGAGCTGCTCTGCTCTTGCTCTTGGAGGCTTGGCACAGATCTGAGTCCAAGTCCAGATCTGAAGAGCAAAGCCCAAAACCTGCCAGGCTCACAACGGGGCCAAATCATTCTCTGGGCTCGGGGAAAACTCTGGGTTTTGTAGTTCAAGCGTGATTAGTGTAATGTTTTGCTGAAATGTGTGATCCAAGCAGACAGTGTTCAGACTTCAGGTCTACCAGCTTTCTTCCTGCACTTGGAGTCAGTCCATTGCCTTGTCTACCAAAGGCAGAAAAAAAAATAAAAAGCTTTTAAGCAATTGAGTGTAATCTCCAGGTTTGAGTACTACAGGTTTACATTCACAACCTCACTCTTTTAATATATTCTGCCCATCCATATGGCAGGCAATATTCTAGTGCTGTCTCTTTCTTTCTCTCTTGACAAGAAATTGCACTCATGCTGTTTTGATAGCCTGCCTTTAGAAAGATGAGATAAATACACATACATTTATACACAGTTTTATGAGAAGTTCTTCAGTGTGGGATGAAAAACAATTGGAGGTGGCAAAGTTGTGTCACAACTTGGATGTAGTTAATTGGATCTACTTATTTGCACCATTTTTTACTAACTGCCTGTGTCAGTCCTGGGCTGAGAAAGCAATTTAACTCATTGCCTGTGAAAAATGAAATGACAGCAGCTACTTGAGTGAACTTTAACATTAACGAAGCATGATCTGGTCTTGATCAAAGACCTTATGTTCCTGGAGGACCAGAGTTCAGGCACCAGCCTCTAATTTCGAGAGAAGAAAAGGTTTCCATGTCATTGCAAGGTAAATTTCAGAGTTTGAGGCCAAGGTAAACTTTCATGTCAGCACTGTTAGTGACCCTATACTGAAGCTTGACTTGATCATCTCTTCCTTTAATTCTCACTGTCATATGCTGCTAAGCTGAATTGGCTTCACCCATTTAAGCAGTGAGAAGTGATGTTATCACCAGTCATTGCTTCCAGGCTCTTGTGGATCACGTCATGCATCTTGCAGGTTGTACCAACAAAACAAGCTCTGAGGAGCGGGGTTGGCATCCAAGAGAGACAAGACACCAGCTTTGGGTGGCAGCAAGCCATAAAATTGTCCTTGCAGGTCTGGTGTAACCAGAACAACTAATAAACCTCTGGAATGCTGATGCTGTGGTTGATCTGGTTACACCAGAGAAGCCATCTCTTGCAACTGGGACAGCAGGAGCCAAATCATGAGCAGCTGATACCAAAGAGATATATTAATGTGACTGTTGCTGTGCTGAATAATGACTGTGACTCTGTCACACCTGCTGAAAACTTTTTAAGCATTTGGCATCATGATAATATTTATTGGAAGCTCAGTGCACCCAGGTTGGCAATACAAGGGATTGTAGCCATGGCAGCAGTCATTTTGCAAAACTCACCACCATTGGTGTTGGGTGTAAAGCCATCATGAAAGTTATTAGGAGAAAACAAATGTTGTTACAGATGGATTTGTAGCCCTGCAAATAGAAGTGAATTGTGGCAGGCACATTCTTCTCTCTCGCAGGGTTTTTTCATAGAGGACCACAGAGGAGAGAAAGAGAAAACAATTTCTATTTCTGCTCCTTGTTTTCCCATATGGAATGTGCTTGGAGAATTGTTTACCTGGGGTGATTTCTTGGTTGGATTCTGGTGAAGATTTTTTGAGCCTGGTGGCCAATCCAACCCACTGGGGCTGGACTCTCAGAGAGGGTCACAAGTTGTGAGTTAGTTAGATATGGTAGTTAGAGAAAGTAGGTAGTAGTTTTTAGTATCTCCTTTAAACAGTATATTAATGTATTATAGTATAGTTATAATAAATAAATCATTCAGCCTTCTGACCTGGAGTCAGACGTCAGCATTTCTTCCCACTGGGTTCACCTGCACTTACAGTAGTGAATGGAGGAGTGAATGAAAAATGCCAGATGCAAGGATGGTCAAAAAGAGCAATGGTCCATCATTTTCTATTTTGCTGCCTTCAGCCTGCTCCAGGAGAAGTCAAACACACCCTTCCCAAGGCCTGACAGCATTGTCATTGTTGTCCATCCAGTGTGACACCTCCGGGGTGCTCTGCAGATCTCCAGGGCTCCTCCTCAACGCTGGGTCTTGCTCTGAAAGCCAAAGCATCTGTGAAATGCAACTGCAGACCCTGGGTGGTTAGAAGTTAATTGGAAAGCCTAGCTTGCAAATCAAACCAGAGAGATCCTTTTGCAGGAACCAGGAGACAGAAGCTCAGCTCACGTGTAAGATGAAGGGTGCCCTGAGCTCGGGGCTCGTGTGAGTTCCTGGCTGTGCCCCAGGAGTGTGGGGTCACCTCAGGTGAATCATCTGGGGCTGCTTCCCCAGCTGTAAAGCAGGATAATGCTTCTGTTCTCACCTCAGTTTGTCTTCTCTGTTTAGATTTCAAGCTCCTCAGGGCTGTGTCTGATACATGTATGTACAGTTCCTACCTTAATAGAGTCATGATCCAAACCGAAGCCTCCAGGCACTCCTGGATATTATATCATTGCTAATTTCACAAGAGGTTGCAATCAAATTCCTTATAGGTGAAAAAAAAAACCCTGAAAAATCCCAGAAAAGAATAAAGCAAGCTATTAAAAACTGAGGAACATTTTTGCTGAAGTGGAAATAATGGTACTTTGTCCCAAAATGTATAAAATATGTATTGCAATTAAATTCTCTATTGGCAAATTGCTCTACAATTAAAAAACACAGAAGCTTGAGTGAGGCAATTAGAATAATAGTAGAGTGTTAATTATAGCTTGATGGATTCTGCATGCTGTCAGCAATTACCTTCCAAGTGTGCACTTCTGAACCAACTCCAAATCCACAAAAAGACACCGGCAGAATTAGAAGTATCTTCCGTGTTGGCATGCCTTTGCCATTCTAAAATTTGTTTTCATAAATACTTTTATAAGCTATTTAATTAGATTTAATGAGGTTTGAGGAAGAAACATCCTCCATGCTGCACACCGACTCCAGCACAGACATTGACTTGGGGATGAGGGAGAGCACAACTGAGAAGAGTCTCATTCCAGCTGCCCTTGTTCTCTCTGCAAGGATATTTTGTGCAAGCTGAGGTGATTGGACCCAGGTTCTAGCAGAGTTACTTCTAGCTTTCTGTTTTATAAATATTATCTAAAGCTTTTGGATCTCTCTCTCTCTCCATGGAAAACTCCATAATTACCCTCTTGCCCTAATATTGAAAAATATTGATATGAATTTTTAAAGTTAATTGAAAAGTCTCATTGTTAAATCTGAAAACACTTTTAAAGAAGCAAAAGGTCTGTTTATTTCTATGATACCATCCCTACTGAGCAGGAGAAATCCTCTCCATAAAAGTGCTTTTGGGTCCAGCAGAAGACTTGATTGCTGTCTGTGTCAGGCAGCTGGCTGAGAAACTAAAAATCCCTGTGCATTGTGTCAAATACAATTCATGGTTCCACTGACCGATTTGTAAGAAATCTAGAAGAAAAGGAGAATAAGCAGGGGGTGAGAATGTCCTCACACAGAGTGATAGCTTCCCAAAAATGTGTCTCCTCTCACACCTTCCCTCACATCATCAAGGCAGCATTTTATCACTGTGATCACTGATGCTGATGGTTGAGAATGACCTTACAAGATTTTTTTTTTGGACAATTTTGGGACTACAGGCAGGAATGCTGAAGCCCAGGCATTCAAAAGCCAAATTGCTCATCACTCTAAAGGCTGGCTTTGTCACCTGCCTTCCTCTTCTGTCAGTCGCTGATAATGCTCCAGTGTGCTACCTTTCCTTGCTGCTGGTTCTTACTCAGGGTATGGAGAGCAGACGTGCCTTCATCATCCTCATGAGACTCGTGAGGCTGCCAAAACTCCACATCCTGCATGGGGAAGAGACGCTGACGCTTTGACGTGACACTTCCACAACTTGTGGGCCAAATGGAGTTTCTTTGGTTGGGCTTACCAGCAAATTCAACATCATACCTGTTTATTTTGTTCAGCTGAACCTATGCTCTAGGTGACTCCAATCCAGCTTTGATGCCTTTCATGAGTTTGTACGGCTTAGATCCCACTCTGAGCAGCCCCAAATGCCATTGCCCTTGTGCAGCATGTTTTTTGGGAAGAGGTGCATACTATGAGCAGCATGATTGGAGCATCCTGCAGGAAATACAGCAGGGGGAAGGTTACAAATTGAACCAAAGGTAGCAGAAGCAGGATTGCCCTGCGATATGCATTTCTCTCCCAAAAAATCCCCTTCTCCCCAAGTAACTCCTGCTGTAAGGGGTTAAATCACACTCCCGCCCGCCTTGGGCGCGCTGAACACTCCAAGCGCTTCCTTCCCTAAATGCTGTGTTGGGCCACATCCAAACTTGAGCCAAGCCGGTTGGATGCTCGGGAGCATCCTCTCGGTGCGGTCCTGCCCAAAACGAGCTGTGCCCGTGGTGCTGCCCTCTACACCTGCCCTGTGCGGGGTTTCCCCCCGCAAAAAGCGCATTTGGGACGTGCAGTCTGTGCCCGGGTGTGCTTTGGGACACGCCTCAGGAACTCATCCGCTCCTACCACCACCGGCTCGTGGCGGGACACGCGTGTCCCTGCGGAGCGCAGCCCCACGGCTGCTTCGTGGCGTGCGGGAGGGATGCAGGGATGTCCGCAGGCTCTGCTGCTCCCGCAAATTGCCGGGATTATGGGAGGGATGGAGGTTTGGGAGCGCGGGGCCCTGGAATTCCCGCAGATTCCCGGGATTACGGGATGGACGGAGGTTTGGGAGCGCGGGCCCTGGTGTTCCCGCACATTCCCGGGATTACGGGAGGGACGGAGGTTTGGGAGCGCGGGCCGAGCGGCGGGCGCGGCCCCTTTAAGAGGAGCAGCGCGGGGGGGGCGCGGCCGCCCGCGTTCACACCTGGAGTGGGAAAGGGAGGCGGGCCCCGCGCCCGTGATTGACGGGCCGCATCCACCAATGGAACGGCGCGGCGCCGCGGAGGGGGGAGCCGCTGGCCAATGGCGGCGCGGCGGGGGCCGCCCGGCAGCCAATGGGCGGGCGCGCGGGGGGCGGCGCGGCTACATGTTGCGGTGTCGCCAACGTGGGTCCGCGGCGAGCGGCGCTCGGGCCGGGCGGCAGCGGCGGCGGCTCCGACCCCGCGGGAGCGCACCGGGAGCGGCCGGCGCCCGCCGAGCCGTGCGGCGCGGAGCGGGAGGAGCTGCAGGAGGCGCTTCCCGCGGCGGGGACGCGGACTCGACCCGCCCGGCAGTGCCCGGTGGATGCCGGTGCCGTAGCGCCCCGCGGGGCCGGCGGCCCGGGCGATGCTGCGGGCGGCGGAGCGGCGCTGAGCGGCCGCGGCGTGAGCGCTCCCGCCGCCTCCTCCGGCCGCGGCCGTTCCCCGGTGCCGGATACAAAATGGCGCTGCCGTCACGGGCGGCGGCGGCGCTGCTGCTGCTGGGGCTGCTGCGCTCGGCCGCCGGCGGCTGCCCCGCGGGCTGCGCCTGCGGCGGGGACGCGCTGAGCTGCGGCGGGCTGGCGCTGCCCGCCCTGCCCCGGGACCTGCCCCGCTGGCCGCGCCACCTGTGAGTACCGGGGGGTCCGCGGGGACGGGCCGAGGGGTTCGGGCAGCCAAAGCACCGCTCTTTGGCTTGTTGTCAACTTCAAACAAATCCCCGCGAAAGCACGGCTTGTTTATTGAAGTGAAGCAGGCGCTGCGCCGTGCGGAGCTGGTCCCGGGATGCGGTGTTCCCTCCGGCACGGAGACGGCGGGAGCGGTGCTGATCCCCGGTGAAAAGCTGGGGCTCCCCGTATCTCGGTCCCGTTCGGGGCTGGCCTCCGGGTGTGCCGGGAGCGGGTTTGTTCTCTTAGCAATGGGATATAACAGCCAGCTTGGGCTTCCGAATCCTTATTAGGGCATCGTCCATCCATCCGTCTGTCCGTCCGGCCGCGCCGGCCCGGGCCGCGCCCGCCTGCCCGAATCCGGACCCCAGCGCCGCGGCCGCGCCCGCTCTTCTGGCTTTTAGTGCTGCCAACTTTTTAGGCTGTGAAATTGGAGGGATAGAAAGAGAGTCGAGGGCTGCTGGGGAGTTTCGGTGAAATCCAGGTGTTTTCCAGTCAAGGCGGCGCGGCTGGCTGCGCTCCCTCCGTTCTTGCGTGTGCAGCGAGGTTACTGAGCTGCGCTGTATCGGATGTCCTGGGGGCAGCTGAGCTTAGAGCCCCGCACCTGGTGCTTGCTGCAGCACCGTGCGATGGTTTTTAGCCCTGGGAGGGTGTTTCGAAGCGCTCAGGTTCGTGTCCGAGCGCAGGACGGTGTCACTGCCATTTCCCGGGAAGCGCAGCGAGTCCGCTCCCGTTGTATGACCGCGGCTCTGGGCTCGTGGAAGCTGAAATGAAAGATCAGAACTTGATGCTCGGGAGATTCGGGGGGAATGCGTGCTTGGCATTGACAGGTCGAGTCGTTGAACAGTCCGAGAGGACTAGAGTATGTGTGTGCGCTCACAAACTTGTGAAAATAAGCGCCCTGAAGTGTTTGTTAACTTCGGGAAATCAGTATCCAGAAAAGGAGAGGGAACAGCGCTTCTGTTGCGGGGCCTTTCTGCTGTTTGAACAGATTAATAAATTATCGAATCTCTAAAACCCCTGGCTGTAATAGATAATCCTCAGCCCTGCAAGGAGAGAGGACGGTCACTGAAGTATTGCTGGAGATCATCCAGCTCCTTATTGAAAAGAATTATTAGAGGTTTGTCTGGTTCTCCTGGTGGTATTCACTTTTACTGCAGAAATGCCTGCTTTTACATTAAATTGTCATGTCTCATACTGAGAGGAACGCCTCTGCATTAAAGCCCTGACTCATCCCATTCACCTGTTGCTCTGAAGGATCTTTCCCTCACCTTTCAGAGCAAGCTTTTAATAATTCCAGCATTCCCATGCACCTCTTAAAATAGGACAGGGTATCTTTGTTTGGGCAAGGAAGTGCGTTAATAACTCAGACAGAACAAATTTATTGTGTTTTTTCCTCCGGAGTGCTAATACCCAGGAGTGTCTTTTTCAAATGGAGCAGGTTTTGGAGTGACTTGTGTTCAGTTCAAATTTTATTGGTGAAGTAAGAGCATGTATAAATCTTCTGCTATGGACCCGTGGGCTGTTGATATTTTAGAATGCGGTTTGTAACTTTGTATATTGCAAACTAACCAGGAGTTGGTTTGTATCTGAAAATGCAACATTGAGGCATTTTTCCTCTCCGTAGCTAGTGTAAAAAGAAGTCGTTGAAGCTATTCCAAGTACTTTTGTTTTTAGAGTAATACTGTTTCTAATTACTAAAAAGTACTTAAAATTACCTGTTTCAGTTTAGAAGCACAAGGATGAAGCATGTTTTTCAGGCTAAGTGGGGTTGTAAATGTTCATTTTTTGTGCAGCGGGTTGATAACTCTCTAATTTACTGGTTTAATGTTCTCTATAAAAGCACCATGTGCTAGCGAAAAGTTTCCTCTATGCAAGTATCTCTGTTTCTTTCTGGATATTGGATTTTTTTTTTTTTAGTGCCCTTTTAAAGAATAAAAAGGCAAACGTGAAGCTCTGCAGTGGTCCATGGCTGATGCGGGAGTGCAGCCCGGGGGGTGCGGGTTCTCCAGCCATAAATTGGGATGTTGGAGCTGTGCATCCCTCATCTCCGTCCCTGCTGGGCAGGCTGTGTCCCGCCAGAGGAGTTTGCTCCCCGGGGTGATAAGCTTGGGCATGTTCGATATGAGATAAAATCCAGTTTCCAGTGACTCTGGTGGCAGTGCTTTAACTTCATTAAAGCTCTATTGAACAATCCCTCCTTAGCAGTTTATCTTTTTTCCTAACGAGTGCCACAATGCTGAGGCAGTGCTTGGAGTCGGTTTTCAGTGTGTTGGAGATAAAGCTTTTGTTTGTCGGGTTGGAAATGCGGCTCGGCAGCCGGGGAGGGTTCTGGAACAGACTTAATCACGCCTCGTATTTTGTCAACAGGACTATCAGTACCGAGGAAAAGCACTGGGGCTTTTTGAAACTATTGTTATTTCTCTGCTGGCAGCAGAGCTCGGAGTTGTAATTTTTCTCCCAAGCTTTCAGAAGGAATAGCTGATACGCAGAGGGGCTGCAGTCACTCACATTTAATGTAGTGTGGCATGGATGTTTTTCAGGGTTGTTTTTGTTGTGGGTTTTTGGTTTTTGTTTTGTTTTTTAAAAGCAACAGGCAGCTCAGCACTGTGTACCAGTTATATAAGTGTTCTTGACTTGCTGCACAGGGCACGTTGCAACACTGCCATGACCCATCCCGTCCTCGCAGCAGCACCCAGATGCAGTTCCTGATCCTGGGAAGGGTGCACAGAGCTCCTTTGCAGTGCTTCCCTTTGGAGAAGCTTCGTGTCTTGTGGTGTTTAAGTCTGAAGTTTGTTTTTACAGTAGAGTGTTCCATGTGGCACAAAGTTTAGGGCTAAGTTTAAGTACAAAATGCTTCTTGCCCCAAAAAAGCCAGGGTTTCAGCAGTATTGGTGATGTGGTGACATCCCCTGCATCCTCTGCTTCTCCATGCATCTTGATTTTTGAGGAGTGACAGAAGAGCTATTTCCTTTAGGCATCATGTATGACTGAGGGTTCTTTTTCCTTTTCAATTTAGTGATAGACAGTATTTTAGGTACAGCTTTTGCTGAGAAGATTTAGGGACAATGAGGCTATGGTTGAATAGTTAATTCATTGCTAGCATGCTCTGTAGGAAATAAAGTTTTTATTTTAAACAGAAGTATTGTGCATTTTTGATCCAAGTGAGTAGGAAATATTTTAGGGGATGTTGACCATCTGTGCATAGACCCTTCTTCCTCTGGGTCAATGTGCATGTGCCTGGCATGTCTGGGGAAAGGCAGCATCCCCAGGTACCCAGGAGAGCTGGGCTAAGAGCTGCTCTCTGTTTCCCAGGAAGGCTCCAGGGTTTGGCTGTATGGATAAGTTACCCCCAGGCACCAGCTGCGTGTGTGTTGGCTCTGCACGATGCTGCTGCTCCCTGGAGAGATCAGGGCAAAGTGTCTGAATGCTTTTTAAAGTCCTGTGGGTGCCTGTCAGTGGTTTCAGGGTCTGGAAGTGCATTTGAACTAAGAGTCAGGAGCAGTCTCTTTCTGGGCTCAAGTGCATACACACAAAGATTTTATTAAATGAAACTTAATATTTGTGCTCAAAATTACCTATAAATTTCTTGCTAAACTGGGGTCCCATAGCTTTGCTTTCACATGTTAGCTTCTTTGCTTGCTTGGTAAGGGGCTGATGCTGGTTGTATGGGATTTTTTGGGAAAGGGCATTACTTGCTCAGCGGCTCTGGAGTAAATCTGCTCCTGCAGATGCTGGAGGTGGTGTGGGGGCCTCTCCTGCTGACAGAGAGAGGGGAGTGCTGCTGGCAGTACCTCTCCTGCATGTCCTGCTTCCAGGCCTGCTGAAATAATGGAACAAAGATTAAGTCATGGTCACCCTGGGCTCCTGCCCCGCGCAGCTGTGGAGCTCTCAGCGTGTGCTGGCTGCCCGGGGGGGGAAGGATGGCTTGGGACAGGGATGTGGCTTGGTGCAGGTGGCTGGTCCCTCTCCCTCCTCCTGGGGCGACAGTGGCAAACCCAAAGACATCCTGCGAAGCCAGCTTGGGTGGTGCTCCGGGGAGGTTCTCCTGCTCAGGTGGGGCAGTGCTGGGAGCTGGCGGTGCTTGTGGAAGAACTCCTGCGTGGCTGGCAGTGACACCCAGCTCCGGTGCTCCCTGGAGCACTGTCCTTGCCAGTGGCCCGGTCGGGACAGTCCCAGCCCCGGGATGGCTCTGCACCCCCGGGATTGCAGTTCCTGGCCCCGGTGGGCAACAGCAGAGCCCCTCCTCGCAAAGCTCCGGGCCTCCTGCTTTAGCACAAATAAATACATGTGCTTGCAAGTAAATCCACCCTTCCTGTGCGAACATGTGTCGGTGGATTCGCTGACCACCCTCAGCATGCCGCAGTATTTATTTATCAGTTCCTACAGGAGGGCAGCAGTTAACAGCAAGCCCTCGGCATCTGCTGCCTGAGCTTCTCCTCTCCATCCCACACTGAGCAGAAATGGGCTCATCGGACTAGGATTAACAGTAAATATGAGACTGGTAACAAAAGAAAAAATACCCCCACTTAAGAAGCCCTTCTAGCTCTCGCAGAAGCCCCTGGCTTCTAGTGAAAAGCTCTAGGACCTCCTCTGCCTCTTCTGCATATTCCTCTCTCCTTTTGAGAAACGTCACGGCATTTAATCACTTTGAGACTTTTCCTCTCTGCAGTGACTGCAATTTGAAACGCAGGGGTCCCATACAAAAGAAGCAAGTGCTCAATGGGCTGTGTTAATATTCAATGCCATTTACAATGGGTGCAGTTTGAAAAGGGGAGAATGGATGGTCTGGGAGCTGGGGGAGGAGGAGCTGCAGAGGGAAAATTCCCAGGACAAGGGAAGCTGCGTCTCAGTAGGCAGTAGGGAAAAAAAAAAAAAAAAAAAAAGAAACGAACACACCATCAAGTGTTCTCCAGAAAAATCAACTCTTATGTGTTAGGTACAGCTTAATAGTTTTTTTCTT